GAGACTTCTGGAGTCATTTGAGGAATCCCTACCATGATATTCAAGTACTGCTACCACAACTAGAGGTCAAGGAGCTCCTTTTAAAAGGTACCCTCTGTACTTTCAGAAGACCATATTTCAGATGTTAGAGATTTCATTTCAGTTAAATCCCAATCTTGGAGAAGTTCTTAATATAAAAAAAATATATTCTTGAAATATGTAGCTAATCAGGCATGAAAAAGGAGAAGAAAATAACATGCTTACTAGACTACACTAACTATACTTTGGAAGGATGGGATGGAAGGCAGACGGAGGCTAAAAAATTCAGAGTTTAAGCACATAGCAAAACAATCTTGTTCTCAGATGCAGAGCAGAACACACACATCAAAAGTGGAATCCAGGAGGACAGTCAGCCAGAGAGGCAGCAGGAAATAACAGATTATGATGTATGTTGCTCTGTGCTCTGATAGTTGCCTCATGATGAAGTAGGCAATGGCCACAGAAAAACTGTTCAGGATAATGCAATGATTAGCAAGCAGTGAAGGTAATGGTGTTTTTTTAAAGTCTTCAAATCAAGACAAGAAGATATAATTTACCCATACATATCAGTAATCTCAAAGCAGAACTGACTCAGGAAATTTTATGTCAGGAAGCAGGGCAGTCTAGATAGTTTGCTGACTTCATCATATTTTAAAATCTGTGTGTTCATAGTAATGAGGTATGAGAAAGGATCATGAGAACATGCCTCCATTTTTGCTGTCTTCATCAGGTTTGAATGCTAGAATCCATTTGTTTATACCTCAGCGGCCTTCGCAATGCTAACACATAGCTATGCTGACATGGAACAGCCTGAACAGCAGCAAAGCTTGATATGAACACGGAACCACACACATGCTTCATTCCAAGACTGAATGGAAGTTGCGTCAATAAGAGACACATCTTCTTGCCTTAAAGACCATCAGATGATGGCAAACATGACAATGGTGCCCTGAAATCACAGCTGGCTGTGTGAAGGTAGTGATTCAGAAGGAATTCTCTGAACATGAGCGAAGAGAGAACAATGTTTAGAAAGTCTAGGATAGACTGTTTGGGATGCAGCTGTCTACAGGCAGCTCCTGTGCTTCATCATAAAATACATTTTGCTTTGTTAAGACAATGTATGTACACAGTTCGTACGACATGTACTGTAGCGTTCCACAGCATCTGTAAGGTAGAGTGCTAATATGATTTACAGGTACGCTGGAAAAACTGCCCAAATTAAGCTAAAATTAAGTTAAGACTGTACTTTGCGGGAATATGCACCTTATCTATTTCCTGGTTTTCAGAGGTCTTATTTTCAGTAGTGTTCTCATTCTAAAGGAGCACAAAGGTCTACTGGACAAAGTTAGTTATGACTTAAAAAAATTTTGGGGGCACCCATTTCCCTGGTTACACAATAAAAGCCCTGATTCTAAACATAGACATTTATGGCAAGATATGTGAACAAAATACATTCTCCCAAATCCTCCAAATGAACAGAGTGCCGAGCCAGACTTTGTAACAACAGTGTGCCACCATTCAGTCACTCAACTGCTATGGCAACAGGTTGTTTTGAAATCCCCTTGCTTTGAGGGAGCCCTGGCATTGCTGCACAGATTACTGTACTTTTCCAGGCACATCCTTTTGGAATGTGCTGTTCTAGAACTACAAGCATAAAGGATTTTTCAATATTACTTCTCTAGAGGTGTAGTGGACAAACTGAAACAAAACCTGAAATGAAAAGATCACGTTTAGGAGCAATAGAGCCAGTTTTACCATAGATCACACAAAAATAATTAGAAGTAGCAGCAAAATTATGTTCTTCAGAAGGCTTTACTTTAGGCTGAAATGAGACCAACTTAAATTATACATAATCATCCTCATAGTGTAGTTCAAAATAATCCAAGTCATCCTATAGATTTTGCCGCACTTACTTCACGTTCCTACAGAAAGTCATACTCAGCTTTAACTACATCAGTAGTAATGCTGCATTGTAATATGTCAAACTATCATTCTGAGATCAATTTGTACTTTAAGATAATTTGTTCCCTTCTTACTTAGTGAGTTTGGGAAAACTTAAGGTCCTCAGCTTGATGAGTTTTAGGACCATCCTCAATAAGCATAAAGGAAATTGCTCTGATGTTAAATGTGAACTCAGCAGAAAAGAGGCAAATAAAATGCCTGATTGCCACTACTCCATATTTTAAAATGTGAATATACTAGGCCCTCAAATTGCATTCTAGTCATGGTCCTCCAGGAACCTTTTATCCCATCATGCTCCCAAATAGTTTAGTGCAGGCATTCAACAACTGAGATGAAAAAATCAAGGTCAGGAGAAGAAATTCTGTGGTACAGTTATCTCAGCCTGAGGAGTGGGTAGTATTGCCATATAGCAGTAGATGTGAAAATCCAGCAGTAGATGAGAAAATCCTCAAACTTCTGAGATTAACATTTCTGTAGGAAAATATCATTCATATTTATAGGACTGCACCATGAGCCACATGCTACTGCACACAAAAGCACAATGAGTTTTAACTTGTGACTCACATCATCTGATTCCCTGATGAGTTCTGTATCTTCCACTTGCACCACCGCATCAGCACCACATGGGATTGGAGCACCTGTTGTAACTCGCATTACCTGACCAGGCATCACAGTCTGAGTTGGCTGAAAAATAAAGAAACAAACAAAAATTAATTTACTTTTAAAAAGAAAAGTCTCAAATCATTTGAACATTGCAGAAGTAATTTGAAAGATTAAAATTCTTCCGTGTGCCATGACTCTTGATGTACTGCTAGTGATATTAACCGGTGTAACTAGGCTGTAATTAGGTGTAATTAGACTCGGGCAATTGCTTGTTGGGTCACATATTAGGTGGCTTAATATTTTTCCCCCTAGGTAGATTCATATCACAAGAATAGCTTTTGGAAGTAGCAAAACACTGATACTCTGCTTGGCTCAGAAAAAGAACTGTCATGAAACACTTAGATGGAGATTCCTGAGAAGCTTACATGAGCAAAAATCTAATGCTGCATCTCTGGACACAAATATTTTTCATGTAGCATATTCAGGTCCCCAGGGCTGAACTTCATTTTGGTTTGGCTGGGTTTCTGTTCTGTTTTGTTTTCCTAGCACTACACTATATATTAAAAAACAGAAGCTTGTAAATAAAGTGATGTAATAGCTGCTTCATTTTTAAGCAGATTTCCTCGTACTGTGAGAGAATGCAAAACTATAAACCAAAGTTCACACAGAATAGCTATCTTTGTGAGGATCTGTTTCGCAAAGCCTACAATTTATAATGTTCTACAATTATGTAAAGTCACAGAATATTACAGAGTTTCAGCAGACATAGTACAAAGAATAGAAAAATATCAGAACATGAAAAAACCAATGACACGGTTTTATTAAAATTTCACACCAGGCAACATATTATAATATACATTTTCAAAACCCAGAGTAAAATTGTAAATTGATCGTAACCATTTGATAAATAAATAACTAAAAGAAAAACCTTTCTAATAAAATGCAACTGAAAGAGGCTGGTATAATGATTGGGAATGTTCATTGCCGGAACAATGTGCTTGCTCTGTGCAGCGCTTGAGTCAGCCCAGCATGTTTGGGGTTTACTGTTGCTAGTGCACATGTGCTATATATCGTCTACACAGTTGTCTGTGATCAGTCCAACATATCCTGGACATGCCACATACATAGTTCATCTGCAGATTGATACTATACTCCATATGCATCATTTGAATAGGGCCAGGACTTCTCATACTATGATCAACACATATTTAATAGCAACCAGCAGACTTGGAAAAAATACTGCCCAAGCACTATTAAGACCATATGTTCACACACAGCGGTCATTTGCTCCATTACTTTTGACAGGAGGCTGTTAGACATCTGTAAATTCTACACAAGTGGTCAGAGGTCAAATTGGGCAAAGCTAGCTTTGTTTTGTCCTTTCTTCTATTCCATTTCTGCACTGTAGTAACCTCTGAAATGTGAAGATTGCTTTGGAACGTGTGTACTTTGAAAGTTGATGTACTTTGCTCATTGGGATAAAGGTACTAAGGAGAGGCTGGGAATGGTTTGTACCTCGTTTACCACAGTACCCAGTATCACAGTGACCCATGTATTCAAAGAGACAACTGAGCCTGGAGTTGATTTAATGTTGGCCCTTTTCTAAGGGTAAAAGAAATCTAACATCCTTTGAGAAGAGCATACATAAAATGCTAAAAGAAACTAAAAAAAAAGATCACAGTTGCCATATGTCATGGTTAATGTGCTTTTAAGGCAAGACTCCTGTTATCCTAAAGTAGGTGTCTAACACAGATCAGAAAAAAATCATGTTTTAGAAGTATCTATTTCTAACCACAGGCTGTGCAAGAAGCCTTGGATGAATAGCTGAGATGCAGCCATTTATACTGAAGATGCTTAAAAGGTAAGTGAAAATAATCTTGTCCACTGTGTTATTTTGTGTTGCCTGATTTTTATGAAAACAAATGCTGCAAAAGGCAAAGCTTATGCCTTGTATGATGAGAGCTCTTTTTCATGTTGTTGTAGACAGGTATCCTTTACAAATAAACAATATTGTTTTGAATTTACTAAAGTACTGACGTCCTTTAGCAGCAAGTTTTAGAGGATAGATGTATGGCATTAGACATGTCTCCATTTAGAATGCAGTTTGTTTTGGTCTCAGGGACCACAAAGAGTACAACATGTCTAGGACTCTGCCAGAAATCAGTGCCTGTGGTGATAACATGTGCTGTAAATATCCATGCTTTTCGAGCTTATTATTAGGTGCCAGTCAATTTTTTGAGGTGCAATGATGTAAAGCATTTAAACAAATGTATGATATAATACCTTTTGCTTTTAGAATCAGTTGTGTTGTTTACATATTTAATTTCCTTTTTGTCCTATGATAAACTGGTCAGATTAACTTTTTGAACAAAAGGTAATTATCACATTTGGATGTAAATCTGCATGGCTGCTTTCTTCTTCTGGGCTAGAGACTATGAGGAAATGACTGCTTCTCAGAAACTATACTAATGTACAACAAGTTCACAGAAGCTCTTTTAAAGGCCTTTGAGATCTCCCACTTACCTGGAATAGGGCAGTCCTGGGTTCTACCCTTTGCCTTCATCATTGATAATCTATCTTATGTTAGTCATTCAATAAAAACCAGAAATAATCCATGGAGCACATCCGCCATCTCAGGAATTCTCTCTTTCACCTATGCACTAGGCTACAGGTTTATGATTTGCAATGACACATGCAAGCTCCTTTCTGTAAAATGGCCCGAGTTATCACAAGGGTGAAAAATGACTGTATCCACCCTATATTGTAGCTACAATATATTGTTAGTCACAATGACTCTTATAAGCCTCTCAATCTTCTAGAAAATTCTAAGCCCCAGCTATGTAAGTTCACATTGAAGAAAACCATTGCTCCAGATAGAACAGTTTTTGACAGTCAGTGTTGATGGCCCTTGACTGGTGCTCTCAGATGTGTCCTAACCTCTCCAAAGCAGGGTAGGGTCTGAAAGTTTTCTTCGACACACAATAGAAAATGGCTGTTAACACAAACATAACCATCTGGAAATAGAAACCAGAAAATATTATCATTTACAAATTGATACTGAAATGTCCAGCTTGGCTATATGGCCTATTTGTAATTCTCAGTTCCATTTTCTTCCTCTCTTAATGGCAATGACATATTTCTGCAGCTCCCTGCTGTGAATCATTCAGTTAATTGGTCTGTAATGTGAAAAGCAGTATGTTGCTGCTGAGAGTGACCGAAGGGTGAAATGAGACTGAGGAGACTTCCATTGCTATAAATCATTTCTTGGGAACGAGATGAACATGAAGAGTTGTGTTGGCCTAAGAAGAACCTTTGATCAATTATCCAGAGGTCAACAGCTTCATTTTTCATACTTGCCAGTGGTATTTCCAGAGGTATAAAGCTAATTCTTCTCTTTCTGCACCCCCCTGCCCTCGCCCCAGTTTTTCTTCCTTGTCAGAGAGGTTTCCCATTTCCATTATTCTGTCCCTGTAGACAAATTTGTGAGCTCTTGAGTTTTGCAGGAGAGAAGTGACCTCCCATTTGTACTTCTATCATTTCTACAAACCTGCTGAACTGACCAGGACCGTGAAGCCCTTCAGACTTGTTGGCCATCATCCCCATTAGAGACAGAGCTTCAACAGCAGTGTGTTTAAGCACCACTGCACAATGACGTTTTTCAACTAGCAAATGTGAACATTGATGAGAGGTGAATAACCACAGACGTGATAATATAGCAAGTTCTGCTAGTTCTTGCTAATTTATAGTGACCGTACAAAGGGTTGTGGAAGTAGCTGAGAGTCTTCTGGATTCTGGACTAACATTTGAAAATTTAAAAAAAAGCTAAAAATTCCAAGGCATGTGAAAACATTGCTGAATTCATTAGTTTATATTTTTTACACATTGAAGGTAATTTTACATATTTTGGATATTACACTAATTAATTTGAGTTCACATGAACATCAGTATTGACAAAATGTCTAGGCCACCAAAGTGTAATTAATGATGATGGATGGGAGCTAGGGCAAAAATGATTTAATGGTTCTCAGTATCTACTCTGATTAGCCAAGCCAAACGTCCATTATAGCTTTAGAGGCAGTTCAACTCCAGTTTAAAACAAAATGGAACAATACTGCAGCTGATGGTACTTCTAAAACCTGAATCAACTTTTGAAATGTATTACTTGAGGCTTTCATGTTTCGCAGTAAAAATGGCCACACTATACAATCCTTGTTAAAATAGAGCAATGCTTTGTTTTGCCTTCCACTTATTCCATTTGTGCATGATTTTGCATACAACAGGTTTTGGACAGAATTACAAACTGGGACTTGAAATACCTGTAGAAACATTCTGGTTTAACTCAAGCTCTCCTCAACAGAAGATGGCAGGTGTAATTAAGTTGCTAGTATATTAAATTGACAGAATAATATGAAGTGGTTGGACATAACTGATTTTTTCTGTCATCCTAGGATTAGTACAGGAACTTTATCAGACGTACTCTTGAGTTTGACAGCAAATCAGAAACAGTGTCTATTCATGCATATTTACGCAGTACAAGCAGGTCATGGATGCGTGCTGCCCGACTTACTCTCAAACTCAATCCACGTATCTGGCAGGCAGCACAAACACTTTTGATTTAATGAACAGAAAAAGAGCAATACTAAGCAGGAAAAGGCAGCTCAAAATTCTCTGCAAACTAGGCTGCTGCCAGGCTTTCTCAAGACTCTTCTAATCATTATCTACCTTGACAGACTTAAAAATTCCCACACTTTGGTTTGCAAGTATCAGTGGGAAATATCCAAGCAGTTTGTGAAAACAGTTGTTGCGCTTATGTCCCTTTAGAAATCTGTCTGCAAGAAGTAGTTAATCCTTGTTTTTCTCCTTTTATGAATTGTAATACTACTGGAAACCTTGTGTCTTCTAACACTGTGCTAGGGCAGAACACTACTGTATGCACACCTATAAGACATATCAGCACAATGCTCTCAAGTATTTTGGGATTTCCTTGTTAGTTCCTTATGTAACCACACTTCCTCACTCTTTGAAATTATGTCCCAAGGCACACAGAAGGAGGCTAGATACAGCTGTGTCCTACTTCAAGCCACCTCCAAGAATAACAGAGTTTTGGAGCACTAGCAAGGCTTGTAAAAATAAAAAGCAATTTCTTACAACAGAAAAATACATTTAAAAAGCAAAAAAAGAAAAGAGATTGTGCTCACCTGCTCACCAGCCTGGGATTCCCCTATGATGAATCGATCCCCTGGGCCATCGGCAGCTGTGAGATGGACAGTACAAATGGTAAAGACGATAAAAAGGCAGAACCAAAATAAATCATGTAATAAGAAATTAAGAACAGGAGAACCAGAGAATGATCTCGATTCAGTTCTTCAGTGTCAGTATGACAAAGATTATAGAATTTTTGAAAACATTTCTAAGGTGTTTTAAGGTTGCCTTTACTATTTTGGAACCTATTACAGGTTATATAGTATTTTTAACCAAAAATTACTCAGAGATATAGGAATAAGTAAAAGGAGAACAGTAGAAATTACAATAATAGTGTACATCAGATTCTTTGTATAAAAATTCCACTGTGAGCAAAATGGAGAAAGCAACAGCTAATTTTTTCTATGTGAAACTAACTTAGGAGAATCACTTATTTTGTCGGTGTATTATGTAACATTTTACTAGGTGACAACGGACATGTCTAGATTCTATTTCTGCTTTGGGAGGAAAATGTGGACTAGTGCAGCGGTTACAGATGCATAGCTGACCATACAAATTTGGCATTTTCTTAAGAGCAATATGGCTAAGAAAATGCAACTTGGAATGCCACATTAGGGATTTGGGTCCTCTTCCTTTCTGTCATTTTAAGAGGTAGTACTGAAATAGGTATCTTATAACATTCACTGAAACCATTCTGAATATTAAAAAGTCAGAGAGGATCGATTTAATAAATAGAAATTCTCCAGGACTTGTAACTTAGCCAAATCTGTACATATTTTTACAGGGAAAACCAAGGCACCATTACTAAGGATGTTTAAGCTTCCCCTTCATGCTATTTGAGCAGCTCCAGGAATTAGAACTGTCAATACTGCACTCCAAAGGTATTACTGCAAGTTGCATTATTGCTATTTTTCTTAAAGACCCCTGCACTACAATCAAAACATTATAGAAAAATCTTTGTTTCTCTTAAAAATGAAGGAAGATTCTAATTCTCCTAGTTGTAGTGAAAATCTTTAAAATATGAATGGCATATCCTAAGAATGCAGAAACCAAATAAAAAGAATCCAAAGTTGTTAGTTTAAAAAATAAAAATCTCAAACTTGTGTTTTTTAAGCATCTGAGCTGGCAATATGCCTTTTTTCTTTATGAAGTGGTTCTTAAAAACAAACTTCAATTATTATTTCCTCATATGCCTAATGATTTCAGATCCCAGTAAAGAGTTTTGAGTATAGTTACTGTCCTTTCACATGTAGAAGCCATTCCAAGCGGGACTTATTTTAATCAGACAACTTCTTTCCACTATTTCAGACAAACATTTCAGAGATTACAGATAGTAAGATTACACAGGACTATTCACTCAGTTTTATATATCTGATTTTTCTACTTTACTATGCTAAATATACAGAACCATATAAAAACAGTACGATATCAAAACTAAACTACACTTTCCTCTAAGTGAAACTTCTCTTTAAAAAAGGAAAATTTTTGTAATGAAAAATTACCCTGCCTGTATCAGATCTATATACCTTTTGCCTTTTCTCCAGGCAATTAGAAAGGTTTGTTTCACAGGACTTTGCTTTCTTGCCTATGTGGAATGAACCACAAATGATTCCTTTGAAACTCACTGGCTACAACGTCACGTCTTTTGATGGTCATTCTCAAAATCAGACTTGTAGTTTTTATAGCTTCTACCATGGTGCACAGACATCTTGAAATCGGTACATCTGTTGCTGGACATCTGCTACATCTAACTTTCCATGTCGAAGCACAGCAGGCATGTTGTCAAGAATGTTCAGACACACTATCAGTTTGAAATATGTCTTTTTATTCATTTTAAATCTGTTAGTTTCCCAGAGATGAAGTGTAATCAGTGATAGCCTTTATCCTAATATCTTTTATTTTAATTCAAAAGCCCTGAATATACAGCTAGATAACTTTATTGATTTAAGAAGAATTCTTTCAAGAAGGATGCCCATTCAGTCTGTACACTGATTTATTATATTTGTACTCATGCATGAGCTGCGACTCCACAGCTGATGATCTACTGTACTTAGACATGTTTGTAGATTAATGACCGACTTTTAACTTTAAAATTCTAGCAAACAGCACAAACTACGAGGTTTTTAGCAAACTCTAAGGAAGTAGAAAAGGAATCTTCTACTACCTGTCTTTGAATAAGGCATATAATAATACTGAATGCAGTATCCAGTACTTTCAGTGAAAAGAGTGCACTGGGATGGTCCAGCAAAAAAAGAGAAAAAATCCCAGATGGCTAGATTATTTTAAACCTGATAAAATGCTACTGAATTAGATTTTATTCACCCGCTAATAATAATATGGAGTCAACATTTATGGGTGATATATATCTCTTATTAGAGCAACTGTATAGCTTAAAAAAAAGTGGTCAAGGTTTAGAGCAGACAGGTTTATGTGCCTGAAAGCTAATTCTTCTTCTTATTTTTTAAATATCAGCTAACGTTATAAATGATATTATTTCTGACTACAAGACCTGTCTCTCATACCCCGAGATAACGGGCTACAAGAACAAAAATAGTACTATTACTCTATTTGAATCCACCCCCAAAATTAGTGTCTTGTGGGTTGATTCTGTAAGAAGTTGATGATGGAGTTGATTATTATTCTGAAATAATACTGCCTGTTTACTAAGACTGTACTTTTGATTTCCTTTACCTTGTAGGAATCAAATTGCAAGTGACCAGTCTCCTGTTCCCAAAGCCCTTTTCAGCCAGCATTCTACTCAAAGCTCCCAGCTCATCTCAGCCCTATATTACATGTATTTTTCTGGCTACATCTGCACTCCCTTGCTTCTGTTACTAGGCATTTTAGTGTGCCTGCTTCTCACACATAGATGATGGACAGCTGCAGTCAACCCCATCTTGCAGATGTGGAATTTTATTCTTATATCAAGTCCATGGGGAGTCTATCGGACTACTTCCATGGCCTGGGCTTGCAGACCGTCTATTTCATGGAAAGTTGCCTTCCATTGTTTCAGCTGCTGGTAACAAAAAAGACATTTTAATGTCTCTAAAAGGAAGTTGGCTATCGTGCCCCAAATTTCAACACAGTGTTACGACGATTCAACTTTTACCATAATGACATCACTACTAGTATAATGTTCATTCTTATATATTGCTTTTCCTCCGTAGATATCTGCAATAAATATCATTAATCCTACTGTACAAATGGAAAAACTGATGTACTGGGAAGCAACTTGCTCAAAATCATGCAGCATCTAGTGGCAAAACAGAGGATGGATTCAGGTCTCTCGGGAAACAGCTCTCTGCTCTCTCCTTAAAGGCACATTACTTACTTACTTAGATATTGCAGCTGAAATGTTTTTAAAGTATAAATGAGGTTTTCTTTTGAGATGCCTTCAAAAGAAAACATTCTTATATGCATTTTCGAAAACTAATACAATAATAAATTAATTCACAAACAGGAAGCTGGATATTGAACTATCTGTGATAGTTCAATAAAGTAGCAGACACGTAAGAAATTCTTGATTAAAATAACAACAGAGAAATTGAAGAAGAAACTGTCATTCAGAAACAGATATTCTCATGTTACTCTCCTGAATTTTTTGTGTTTCTATGCAATTCCTTTGCAACCCAGGTGCATACCTATAAGCACACTTGGATGTACATTTGAACAAATACATATGCATCCATTTAAAAGAACGGAATTAAACTTTATAGTCTTCCTTCAAGACAGCTGAGGTCCACAGTGACTTCAGCAATGATCTGAATCAAATCTGAAATAAAATATTCACAATTGGATCCAAAATACAAGTACTTCTGGCTGATGGAACATGAAAGTGAACAAACAATATGCTATAAAGTAGTTTTACGGACACTGTACTGCATGTCTACAGTGTGTTTACCTCTGACAGCGTAGCCATCTTTTACTGATGCTGGAAATGGTGGTAGGTTATCTTTTGCATATACATCTTGAGCAAGGACTCGGCCCATTCCATCTATAAAGGGAAAAAGAGACAATAGCGTGCTCCATGTCAGTAATGCCAGTGAAAGGGAAAAAAATGACAGCAGTATGATCTGACGGATGAAATATGTCATGTGTGCATACATCGCATGAATAGATCACTCAGGTTCTTGATTTCTGTCAAAACCAGTACATAAATGAAAGAGACTGGAATCTGAAAGTACAGATGAAAGATTTCATCAGTAAGTTTGTGTTTCTGGTTATGGTGAAATAGTTGACAGCAGATTTGAATGCCAAGTATCCAAACCTGCAGGTAATAGCGCTAACACAGAATCAGACAGAACAAGTATTTCCATATCCTGAAACCTCTTAAAAATACTTGGACACTTTTTTGTATTATTAAACTTTTTAAAAAAGTTTTTGCTTTTTAAGAAGTTTCTAAAATAACATCCAAAAAATGAAACCTATGTGCAAATGTGAAAATTGAGGGACTGAGCCCAGAGGACTCAACATAAACAGTAATGATGGACAGGATTCAATAAATTAACACAGAAGGTTTGCAATACATTAGCTTTGCCTAAATGCTGACAACAATTTTGTTCAGTGGAGGGTTAGTGAACATAAGTGTCAGTATTATTTATGTAAATTTACACCGTAATAATTCTAAATATTTTTAATAGCCGTTTCAAACATATTCTTTCCCTTCATTTAGCAACTGTAATTGATGAGCTGTAATTTGGCTCTGCCTCCCTGTAGAGACTGGCCTGAGTAACTTCACCCGCAGCCTAGTGTGTGCTACTTGCCTGCTTTTATGGTGCCAGCAAGAGCTTTCTTTTCTCTTCTTATGATGTGAACAAAATGGAAACGGTGTCTCTTATCTGTCTATATAAGGGGAGTGTGAGGAAGAGGATTTATTACATACCTGACTAGATGGACTAAGAAAGGGCATACAGGTCACAGCTACTGAGATTAGCTTTATTCCGGTATGTCTAAGGAGAAAATGGGAAACTCATCTGAAAATAGATGCCACCACTTTTAAGATCTGTTGCGGCACAGGAAGGAGTGAAAGAGTATGCATGGGTAATAATGTCAGGAAAATTTGTGTGGATATGTACTTTCTGGATTATAAACTCTCAGACATGCCAAAAAAGACAGATATACATAAGGTGTGTTTCTCATTTTACAGATGGACAGGAAAATATATGTGATTCTGGATATACTGGGAAGGCAGAAGACTTAGCTGTGCACACTAAGTGGACAAGTTTTGTTAAAAACAGCACCTGGCTGATATGTAAACGCTCAGCTTCACTTAAGTGGCACCCTAAAGGAAATTATTTATTAACACAATATAATTTAGTTAGCAATTAATTATAATAACTATAACATCAATGCATTCACATCCAAATGTATCAAATCTTAACTTGGAGCAAATATTTATGCTGCATTTTGTCATGGGTATTACCATGAAAAAATGCTGATAAAACCTTTGTTAAAGCAACTAGAAAAGCATTTTTGTGATGGATATCAATGCTTTCATGTGATAAGACCAGACAGAAGTTATTGGAAAGCTCACTGAAAGCTTGAACGCTTGCACTGAAAAAAGGAATGTAGACACAGACATTTTAATTATAGCACAGAAAAGCCAGCTTTCAAAGGGACGGCAAGAACACCCTCAGCTCATAGGCACACCAAATCTCATACAAAAGTGATGCTTCTAATTTTAGCAGGCATGTTGTGACTTCATTTTACTTCTTGTCTGCATGCAAAAACACACCAATTAGAGCAAAGTTGAACAGTATGTTCCTGGCATTCTGCCATGCAATATTTGAAGTGAACAAATGGCCAACCAGGAGCTGGAATGAATTTCATTATGGGAATAAAAAAGTAAGAAATTTATTTACTGAAGCTTTAGGCATTTAAAGTGAAGCAACTCAGCAATTAAAGGATAAGCTGAAATACTTCTTTACTCTCTTTTTTTTATGGAACAATTATTTTAAAAGTATATCATTTAACCTTTTTGGATCACTGTAATTCAAAAAAGATGTTCTTAAATATTCTAATGTCATCAAACTACTCCTCCCCAGGCCGATAGCTTTCTGATTCTAGCATAAAAGGCAGAATTGCATGAAACTCACTTTTTAAATGTGGATATGACCTTTTCTAGAGCTCAGCTGGTGAAACTGGTATAGTTCTGTGAAGAATTTTGATCTCTCAGTGAACTGGTACTGGGATAAAGTAGTGAGACAGGAATTGTACTAGAGGTCAAGGATTGGCTTCCAGTTCATAAACATTGTCCTGCTAGCACTTCAGTGTGATATGAAAAAGCAATGCTGTCAAAATGATCATCTAGTCAAAAATTAATACTGTCTACTTGTACAGAGTACCATTCAGCAGCTTTGTTAGGCTATACTGAGGTTGAACACTGTAATATGTTTAGGAATTAATTAAATTTATATGAATTAGGTAATCCTAGAACTGCAGTCCTAGAACTTTAAAAATTCCACGTTCTTTACAGAGTATTTCTGCTCCTGAGAGCTAAGTTTCAGGAGCTCAGTGTTAATTCAAGACACAGAAAACACACAGAAAACAAACACAGTATACTGCTCTCTTTTGATTACACCTAGTTAGGATTCAGACCTCCAGGACTACAGTTGAGTTATCTCTTGAAATAACAGGTATACTAACTAAAAAATAGATGAATAGATAACTAAGTGAAAACCTGTTTATGGCATTCTTCAGAATTAAAATTTTTTACTAAGCATAAACATTTATGGGCGTGCATATATATACATACACATTTTTATATATATACACACATACACAAAAAGCCCTAAATATTTGATTGTACAGTACCATGGTAATCACTTAAGAACTTCTGAAAAAGATCCCATCACGAGATTTGTATCTAAGATTTCTCTGCAAATTGAGAGAACTGAATTTCCAGTATCACAGACACACATGTCCTTCAGGATGTCCCCTAAAGCCGCAATCCTGAAATTTCATACTGTGGATTAGGCAGTGTTACACTGCTAAGATAATGTATACTTATTGATAAATAAATTGCACGACTGCTTGACTGCAGCACAGCAATATGAAGGAATATAACTTTTTTGATATTTTCATTGTTGGTGAAAACAATTACGTGAATACTAAATCAAGCAGAAATCTCTACAGCTGGTTAGATTATCTAACTAACTCTTTTATTTTGGTTGAAGGGTAGGGGGTTGCAACTAAAGTGTCTACAATCATCATAACAACAGACTCTAAGTATTATTTTTTAAGAATAACCATACAAGTAATAATAATCAGTACGTTCTAGTCTTAGAATAAGCCTGAATTTGATGATTGTAATCACGTAATGTGAAGAGCAGAATGAAGTATCAACCAAGACATTATAAACTATGCTAGAATACCTTCTCTAACCTTGTATCATATTCCCATGCATTTGAATGAGAACAGGAAAAAATCAAATTGCCTATTTGACAAATGAAGGTAAGTCAAACTCTATATAGAATATAAACATCTAGCAAAGATCACTTACCTCCACTCTGCCTGTAAAGACATTTTCAAGAGCATGTGCTTTGAATGGAATCACTCCATTATTTATAAAGTCATGTTATTACTATAAACAAAAAACCTGTTATTTAGCCCGTATTTTGCATGTTTTTTATTTTAAAATAAAGTATACTGTAAAAGGCTTGTCCAAAGCATGATGCAGCAGGAAATGAGATATGCTGTGATTTCATCTAATTTTACCCTAGTTCTAAGTGAAGAGGCTTATAAACCAGATACATTAAAAGGCTGCTACCTACAGCTCGTATAAATATGTTTGCATGCAAACTGGTATGGAAGACTGGTGTGTAAATATTGTTACCTACATCTACATACCTACCTACATAATATAAATATTGTTACCTACATCTGAGGATTCTGCTCATTCTCTGTCTACCTAGAAAAATACTTTTAGTCACATTTTCTTAACTTCCATGGGAAATATACTGCTTCAGTCCCCCGGATAGCTCAGCTGAACCTAATCTAATAATGATAAAGAAAACTATACTGAGAACAATGTTATGAAACAATATCTAACGTTTCATACATAAGTGTAAAGATTGTGAGATGGAGCAAAATGAAAAGAAAAACAAGCAAGATAATAAGAGATTACAAAATCAAAGACAAAAAAAGACAATAGTCCTGGATTGCAAGGGATGAATGCATGTTCTTAAAGATTAAGAAAGACAGCAGACTTCACACTGTATATTACAGCAATAAAGAGCATGGTATGAGCAGCAGTGTTACACTGTGAGAGCACTATTCCTTACTTGCATTACTTACTATGCAAGTAATCTTGCATACTATGCAAGAAACTCAAAAGAAAAAGTCAGAAAGAAATGAGGATCCAAGGAATAACAGGACTGAAGGCTTTAATGTACAAGGCATTAAAACTTTTGAGAAAGGTTTTGGAGTCTTATCTATATTCATAAACAGTTACCCTCCAAAAGAAATGCATAGCCATCTCAACAATTATCAGTTAAAAGTGGCCTCAACTGAGTTTCAAGATCAAACTTGTCCACTGTCCACACTGCTAGCAGGCAAACAAAGCCTCACACGTGCCTGGAACGTGCCCTCCCTCGCACATTAGAGATTGTGCACATGTGGTAGCAGGGCCAAACCTGAGTGCATTCAGGTCCAGACTACTGACAGCTATCCATGAAGATCTGATAGCTATACTCAGACATTAATGCCTTAATGTCTCCTTCTAGTCTGCGCACCATTATAACAGCTCAGGACGTAATATCCATATTCCCTGCTGAATCAGTATTGGGGCTTTTCGGAATGCAGGATATGCAGTATCTTCTTAAAGATCTGCTTCCTGCTATCAAGGCATCTGGGAGTGCTCATCTCCATTTGGAGTGACTAAATGCAAAAGTGGGATTCTGTGCAAACCCTGCTAAATCAATGCCTAAATATGAAGATATCCCAGAAGTTTGCAGCAGCACAAAGATTTGGTGAAGGGCAGGATATCTCTGAATCTTGATATCATGATATCTTTCAAGCCAGAAGACAGAATTTGCCATTTGGAAACAATTTGTATCTCTCTGTTATCTGCAGGTCACTGAGATTCCAAACATCTTGCCTCATGAGGCTCATGGTTCATTTCTCTGCTCATCAGCACAGCTTTGGAAAGTCTGGAGAGGTCCATTTCCCTCTCCGCACCAACTTTAGCATTATTTGCTAGCATGCTCCCTGTCCTGGTTTTGTCCTGTGCCAATAATTCTCCCCTAGACAATGCTCGGCTTTGGCTTCAGGGATAGCAGAGGCAACGGCTATTCCTAACAGCCATTAGGAACACGCTGTTTCAGGAGGGATGATAGTTTAGCTGCATAAATGTGAGTGGTGCCACGCTGTTTCCTTTTAAGGCCAGAGAACGGCCTCACCTATCCCATTTACTTATGAGTATAGACATAGTCAAATCTGACTCTTTGCTGTTTGGAGCCTTCTAAGATAACCCAGCTATTTAAAAAAGTAACAATTACCGTTTATTATAAAGCTTCAGGAAATCAAGTGGTTAAATGAAAGTAAGGGTCAGAAAAGACTCAATGTAGTGGCAGAACAGAAAGGAGAATATGTTACATTTAAGAGGAGGTAAGTTCTGGAACGACTAGTAGGCCAAGTAGGATCTGGAAAAACAGACTGAGATGAACTGTTAAAGACGTAGATGTGGAAAAAAGTGATCTGGAATCAATAATCACTTTGATTGAATCTTTATTTTCAGATTGGAAAGGGGGTGAAGTAAGGGTCTCCCATAGTGAGAGAACAGACTGATTGATCACAATACAAAATGGAGCCAGATGGCATCTACGCAAGTCCAGTGTTAAAACAGCCACTGAGGCAAACTGTGGTTTTTAGGTTTTTGCTTTGTTGCATATTCCACAGCTTATGAGCAGATGCATTTATGTATTTAATTAGAGTTCCATTACAGATTCCTTCAGGAAGCAACACTGAGCTCAATGCACATTCTTCTGACTTTGAAAGGACAATTCTGCTCCTATTATTGGCATTACCTAAAGCAGTTTCTCCTGGAGAAGAAAAAGGGGTATTGTCTCAGACACTTCACAACAATTATTAAAAGACCAAGCGCTTAAGCTGAGAGAGAGGAAGTGTGAGAAAGGAAATAACCACCCTAATCCTCACAAAGAATCCAACTATATGTGAAGTACCTCTGTAATTGATGATTTCTGTTCCAAGCACTGGGGTCATCTCCAGAACTGTGATGAAGGCCTTGTCCATAGATGTCAATGGGAATGGAGACATGCGGTGTCTTCTTGCTACCTTGGTAATGTCAACAGCACTGTGACCTGCAGAGAGAGAGCACCAAGTTTATGTATGACACAATTTGTAGATGTACACAGCTATGTTCATTTAAACCACTTTACTGGAATGCATCTGGCCCTTAGGGGTAAATTAATTCATCTGCTTATCACTACTGAGCATTTACGTCAGAAAGTAGAAGGGTATTATATTCAATCAAAATCAAAAGGGAGATCTAAAACAAAATACAATTTATAATTGAAAAAGTTCACAAACGTGCATATCCTTCCTTGTTATGAAAAATATGCCAGAAGTCTCGATGAGAATAAAAGAAACAGTTAATCAGAAACAGAAACCCTTCACCAACAATGCAGTATTTGACACTGTGGCTCATAATCTGAGGCTGACTCACTTCTGTGATCTACCTCGTGCTCAGGACAGCTCACTCACTCATTCTGTTCTTCCTCAATGGCTTCTATAGCCTTCTGATGAGTAGCTGCACTTTGACAGTCAGATCCTGGACCTATTGAGTTCTATTAAGTATTCCTTCTCTCCCTCCCTCCCATTCAAAATCTACAATAATGTCCATGGAGAGAACTGTACTATGCCATAGCTTTGATTCTAATGATACATAAAAGATTCTGAGCTATGTCTGTATACCCTATCTAAAACACAAATCACACCTCTTTCCCAGCTATGACTAAATCTAAATAAGATAAGCAAGTGCATCAGATACAGATGGTGAAAAATAAACAGAAAAGACATCAGTGTTGCCAGCATATAAAAGCTGATAGTTTGAAGTAGTTGTTGATACTGTCCTATCATCTGGAAATAAGGCGTTATGACACTACCTTTGAAAAACTGGCAACCTAGAAGCTTACAGAGATTCTTTATCAACTGGGTACAGATTATTACTACTAATAGTATATGTATTATCACACTCTACAAATATCTTTCACTATGCTATATACCATGCACAGAGAAAACATTAAAACAGACACAGTTCCAGTGAGTCTGCAAGAATAAGATGGGAGTCAATAGGTTTGAAGGGAGGAGGACAGAGAGGAGCACAACAAAATCATGGGACAGTCAGCGCAACAGAGAGTAGTTCTAGCTAGTGGGCAGCTTAACCATTATGAAGACTCTGTAGTCACCACAGCAAAGTAATGGTTTAAGTGTATGATTTGAGTGAAGATAGTAAGATAAATTAATGGGAGTTTACTTTTTCCAAGTATGAGACACAGGTTGGGCAAAAACATGAAAGAAGTTTGAAAATCAAGCCAGCGGATAGAAAACTATGACTGGTAGCGTGTTTGATTTCCTGATGCTTTATGAGAGTGAGTAACTGAGGGGACAACAAGCTCTGAAGGACTTTGAAAGTGACGAGAGGCAACTGAAGACAGAAGACTAGCGCAGTAACACATAAACAAGGACAACAGACACAAGCCAAAAGATTAGGAAAAACGTATTTGCAGAAATATCTTTAATGGATTTGCCTGGATCAAGAATGCATTTATGAGAGCCAAAGTGGATGATGTTCTAGAAATACAACACGAGATGCTTGACAAGAATTTCAACTGCATGCATTGACAGGAAAAGCCTTATCTCAAGATCTATGTCGAAAGAGTCTACAAGAAATATACACAGTCTGGCTGTTAGAAAATAGAGTGTAATAAGGTGTAAGGTGAAGATGAAGCCCAGGTAACACCAATGTGGAGTGCTAAAGGGGTCTGTAGGTTGTTCATAGTGATTGGCAAAACTTCGGGGAATAGCTAGGAATCAATGTCAAAGACAGGTAAAAGGAGACAACTCTAGAGAAAATAGTTCAGCATAGAGTGTAGCTGAATTTTTTTTTGATACAGATGGGTAGAGGCAAGGTCTAAAGGGATAGAAGAAGGTCTAAAGGGATAAAAGAAGGAGACTAAGGCAGGGCTCTAGTTCTCTAGAAGAAATCTGGAGATTTCCAGAAACAGGACAATTCCATATAAGACATATTGAAGGAGCTGTTGGAGTGACAGTAGAAGACCAGGAGATTGGCAGCTCAAGGACGATAAGAATCAAATACAACCACTCAGCTTTGACTACGAAGAGTGCAAAAGAGACTTTGATACAAACTGATTCAGTAAAGTGCAAGATGTGGCAAGCAGTCTAAGTAAAACATCTCTAAAAAAATATCACCGGCACTTAGGAGTACCTTCCCACTTCAGACGACGTGGGCAACAAATTAAGGCCTCATGAGGTCTAATGCCTGGCTACAGGCATAGGACATTCCCAAGAGAGTTTCCTGACAGTAATGAGGCTTGTCTGCAACTCTCATAGCCATCTTACACCCTACGTTACTGATAATGCTTGATTTCATTTGGCTTTTGGCAGTTTAAACTCAGCATCCAGTACCACTGTAGTTAATGCTATATGTAATTGTATTTCTAAACCAGCATGATTTATAATATGATAGTGTTGACAAATAATAGAGAGTCTCATTTTTAACTACATGATTTCACTTTGTGGTTGCAACCTAGATGCCCCATTTGCTGCTGTGCATACTTTCACATTTTGAAAATAAACAGATGATTGTTTTAAGTGTTGCCTTCCATAAAAATAGCTTTATGGCAATACAATTATGCATTTTTTTTTTTTACTTCAGAAGAGAAGAATACTGCATCTGTAATGTCTGTATACACAAAACTTTCAGCACTGACAGATGCTTGTTCAAATAAGTTATGTAGGAGATTGTTCATTAACTCATTTTTTGCTGTTAACATATTAACTATCTTTAAGAGGAAGAAACAGAGAAAAAGAAGTCTGTCAACCTAATTCCAGTCCCAAGAAAGACTTTGGAAGAACTTATTTCAACAATCTCTTTGTAGATACTTAGAAGATGGTAATAAAATCAGGCACTGTGTCAAGCACAAATAATTTCTAACTGATTTCATTTCCTTCCTTAACATAGCACTAGGCATACTGTGGAAGGGGATACAGCTGATGAGACATATTTCAACCATATTAAGACTTTTCACAGTCTGAAACATGACTTTTTCATAAGCAAACCAGGGAAAAATGATTGAGATTAAACTATTGTAAGATACAAGCATAACTAGCGGAAAAATTGATTTCCTGGATTTAGCAACAGGAAATTTGCAAGCTCATTTTCATTTGTCATTACTATAACTGCATTTTGTTAGCACCATAAAGACGAGGATGCTGAAAGGAATGTACTTGTAAGATAAAGGTAAAGCCCATGTCAAATTCCCAGACTGTTCTGTGCATACTTGTCCCTGAGAGACACCTTGCCTAGAGGCAATGTAATAACCGCAGCAGATTTCGTACAACATATGCTAAAAGTTTTTTCCTGGTTGTATAAAGTAAGATATTTTTGTTTTAAAAGGAAACTTGGAAAGATGAAGGAAGACAGTAGAAAAAAAGTGTTGGAGCAGTGAAAGTCGGCAGAACTGTGAGGCAGCAAACAACCTTTACGCTACAGCCATTATTAGGTGCTGGCCACTGTGTCACTAAACAAGAAACTTTTAACTTTAGCAATATGAAGGAAAGTAAACTGCATAGTCAAAAGACATTTATATACGTCTTTACCAACATAACGCCTTGAACTCTTGCTGATGCACGCTGGCCTTTTAAGAGCCTGCATTACACCTTCAGTTTAAATTATAAACTCCTGGAAATGTTTATGGCCCATCTGAACTAGAGCTAGTTTTCTAGTAAAAAAAAGCCACTATTTCAAAATCCAGTGTGCTGAGTTGTAAGAGCTGGCTGCATATATTGATATTTGATATATATTGATTTTTTGTTATCATGATGTTATATAACACCGGATAATGTCTGTAATTGTTTCCAGCTGCTGAAATGCCATGATTAAATGCTTTGAAGAAAGATCCAGAATAATGACATTAACTACTGCAGTGTGATGAGTCATTTCTTCCAAGTATGCCCACATACACTGCTACATTTCCCAACTTCTTCCTGTTCATCCTTACTTAAAGTCAAGCTGAAGGTATGTATGTGATTTCTCCCCAGAAAGGGAAGCAAGGTGTGGTCCTCTGAGTGGGATTTTCAATGCACTGGATTCCAGTACTCCAAGCCCAGCAGATACCTGGCAGATGTCTTCCTCCATGGTTTTACAAAATGTACTTAATTTAGAAGTAGCATACCCCACAAAAAGAAATTACAACATGTTTCAGGTGTGATTATACTTGGGAAAATGGCTCCTCAGCTTCCTCCCCAAGCGTAGGCTCTCTCTGACATGCCATACCCAGTTAGGTTACAAGTTAGAAAGATGATTTTTCTGCAGCCCTCACATCTTGGGATCAGAAAATACAGAAAATCTCCCTTCTTATGCTGTCACGAGACATATAGGTTAATAATTCAGAGAGAATTGTGCTAGTAGCTGTTCTGATGATGTGCAAAGCAAAACAGAATGCAAATGCCTTTCCTGTTTTTCCTCTGTGGTGTCTGCAGGATTAAAACCATTTCTCATGCAAAGAGTAAAATAGATATTATTTTAATTTACACTAGGTACTACTACAGTACTTTTGATAAGATAGCACCATAAACCATAGTTTATTATGGTTTACTAGTAAACTATGGTTTATGGTACTATATAAACTTTTATAAACTATGCTTTTTTAAAGCCATCCTAAAATTTAGTTTTAGAAAGATTTTGGCCTCTATAGAAGCATACTTCTCTTCAGAAGCAATACAGTCTTTGTCAGCAATTCTGGAAAATATCTTTAAGTTTCCTTGCTTTCAAAACTCTTTGTTAGCCACTTTAGAAGTTAACATTTGCCTTTTTAATGCTTCAAATGCCAACCAACCATTCAGGGGTCAATCTCTGAATGGTGCCCAAACTACTCCCTTCCAGTTTGAAGCTCTGTGTCTAACACATGTCACTTGCTTGTTTAAGTAAGGGGTTCAAAGGGTCTGTTAAAACCTAGTGGGAAATGCCTTCTCCAGCCCGCTCTGTTTGAAAATAGGTAAAATCCACCGATCTCTGACAATTCTGTTCCAATACCAGAAGTGACAGCCATTATTTCTGCAAGACAAACCAGGAAAATACATACTTGAAAGGGGAGTCCCTTCAGGTTTTGCACTAGAATGAATAACTTTAATGCCCGAAGGAAGAAAGAAGCTCATGTAACTCCTAATCCTTCTCTCTCCTTATTTCTTCCTAGAAACAAATGCTAACTTTTCTTTTAGCTGCATCACACGTTTAAATAGACCTGGACACAAAAACAAATAATGGCTTTTTAATTCTAAAATTATGAAGTGGTACATTTTTTATTATAAGTTAATGACGTTAAACAACTGCTGAGACCTTCCCAACTCTCTTTCACAAATGTCAGATGGCTCTGAAAATAACTGTTAATATTCAGCAGCATTCTATATGACAAAATAATCCTTTAGCATCGAAGCAGCCAAGTCAATTGACTGTGTAAGGTGGAAAATCCACAATAGCCTTCTGTTTGATCGCTGAAACAACTTCCTATGCAAATTATTATATACATATGGTAAAACACATTTTAGACTAGGAAAGATTCACATAAAGCTGAAAGGAATTTTGCAGATTACAGAACAGGTAATGTGGATCAAACCTCAATTTTTAACCTTTACAGTTTTCGGTTTGGTTTTACAAAACCCAGCATTCAAATTCATGCTCAAGTTTGAAAACAAAAATCATATATATTCAACTTGAGAATTTCCTTTTTCATTACCTTTGAGCGTTGATTGTTTTTGCCCATAAAACTTGCACACGCACTACCATTTAAAACAGTACACTGATACAACAACATAGACCTCGGTATCATCAGAAGAGCAACTCGGAAAGAAGAATTAAAAGGTAACTATCAGTTAATGCACAAACACTACAAGCTATTTTTATTTTCTCTCTCGACTGAATTTCACTGTCTTAAGTTCTTAAAATTTTTTCTGCGAACCCACATGCATCTCAGCCCTCTCCTTCCCCTCTCTTCTGATTATAATTTGCTGCCTTCTTGTCTGTTTACAATGGCAGTCTTATTTTCACAGTAAAGCTGGAAAGTTTCAATACTCACTTGCTCTGAGGATGTTCTCCTTGCTGCTGCACCTGGACTGGACCTGCAGAGAGAGCACAGAGTCTGTGAGCTGCAGAAGTTAACAAGCATGCAAAATACAGAGATATAATGGGCAAGCTCCTGGGATTTAAGACAGAGGCTCTACATGTTTTCAGCAACGTTCTTACATACTCTACATGAGATAAATAAACAGAAGAGTATTAGCTGATGGTCAGAGTCTGATATAAGCAATTTAAAATTCCCCTAACAATAAGCAAGATGGCCTAAGGACACGATAATAAGAGTAAAATCAAAGTCCATGCTGTTTATAATTATTTGTTATACTCCAGCTTTTATAAAAATTCCACATTTCCTCATATTATTTTGATTACAGTAACTCTGTAACTAGGTCCTCTGTTTCATGATTAGAAAAAATACTAACTTAACTATATTATCACAACCTGCTTTAAAACTCTACTGTTGACATTTTCAGGTACTATAGAAAGAGTTTAAATATATTCAATCTAAATTATGTTGATTCTGAAGATATTTAACAAACCTCCTTCATAACTGTATAAACAACTCACAATTGTATAAACAGCTCCTGGCTGGAGCTAGATAAATTTACTCTTCATACTGCAACTCTACTTTAAAAAGTAACCCTGTAAGAATGACAACTGGCCTCTCAACAGATCCTCCTCCTAGGTGCTTAGCTGCCCCTGTGCTATTCCAGATTTATCAGTCTGACTCCAGTGGAGGACTCATGTTGGTCTAACACTCCAGTTTGCACTGGCTTTTAGAGTTCCATCTGTTTACCATATGGATTAAAAACATTTTTCTTTTTGAAGATTATCAATCTTGTAGACACAATCCAGTTTAAAGCGTATCTCTACTGAAGCATCAGCTCTTGTTAATTCTTCGCAAGTTTGGAAAGACACCACTTGGTACAATAACAGTGAAGTTGCAAGTTAGTAGATGCACTAATCTGGAAAGAAGTTTGTTTTATGACATGTCAGCTCACTGCACTGGTAACACTTGAGTAAAAAGCTCTTTTTTGTGGCTGAAAGTGCAGCCACAAGCTAAAGTAAACTTCTCAGGAAGACAAACCCCTATGAGAATACGAACTGAATCCTCCTCTTTCGTACATCATTCACAGATATATTGCTATGTTTCGTGAGATGATTAAGATAAAATTATGTAGACATAGTTAAAGAAGTGGAATAGCACAGGTGACACTGAGGGTGTAATTGTGTAATTCCCTTGCAGAACATTTCTCTGCTGAGAAAGTGAAGGAATGAATCCAGATTATCTTTCAGATTTCAGTTTGAATTTGTAGGTACAGAAAAAATGCATAGAAAGTAAATATGTATGATCTGACAGTTAGGATACACATTCAATCCCCAAAAGGCTGGCTTTGTAAAAGAGCAGCCACTGAAGTCTGAAATGAACCGTGCCCCAGTTTCTAAACCTCTTTCTTCCATTCCACAGCAGCTTGCCCCAAATGTATATTCACATAAAAGATTAGATTCTACAGCGTAACACAGTCTATTTATTGTAATGGAATAACTTATGGAAAGTAATGTTGCAACTAAGAGTGGGTTATGGTGTCCTTCCCTGAAAAAAACTGTTGTTTAAAAAAAGAAAGAAAAAAACAAAACCTCCCTCCCTTCCCACCAAAAATGCTATACAAGAAAACTTCAAACGAAATATTAATGGTACCCAAATTTGGCCCAGAGTTGTTTTTCCAGATTTCAAAAGGCATGACATAAACTCTCTTTGGAAGAAGTAAATATTTATCTATAATTTACCAAAGGACAATTCTGGACCAAAAAGATGGTATAACGCTATGAGAGAAAGCACAAAAGAGAGAGGGGCTCAGAGAGAGAGAGAGGCAGAGAGAAAGAGAGAAGCAGGATGGGATGTGGCAAGCCAAAAGACAGTGTATGCAAAAGGAGACATGGGCCTATGTGTATAGACTACTGTTTAAAATGGAAGAGGCTCTCTTATTTCTCACTGAAAACCATATGGAAAGAGAAAACGAGGAATGGGCCTGCTGCAAAATAATCAAGCAATTTAGCAAACTGTGGAATGAAGCTTAGTGAGATAACACAGTCCTAAAGAAAAAAAAGGCAAAACCAAAAAATACAAAACACAAACATTCAGAAACAATCTACTAAAACAAACAAAGTAAAATAAGTGATCCAAAGGACACAGATAAAAGTTACTAGAGAAAGAGGAAAAATGTTAGCAGACAAAGACAGTGCTGAAGAAGTAAAATGGGAGTCAAGAGAGAGTCTTCAACAAAGTGGAGGAACAGAAGGAGCCCAAACCCATAGCGCAAAGCAGTGTTTGCGAATGGAAAACAGCTCCTTTGAGCAGTAATAGTTACTCTCGAGTTGTAGCCTCTATTCCTCCTGAGTTCATCTTTAAGCCCTTCCAACCTATAGTGGAGCTAGTGTATGGACAAAAACAAGAGATTTATAATGAACAGAGCAGCTGAGATTTGCAAATCAAATCTTCTAATATAAAAAAACGTGCTGACAAAGTTTTGCTCTTACAACGTCCAAATGACAATGGTAACAAAAGACAGCTGGCTTCACACACAGCCTCTCAGAGGTCATTTTTTTTAATTCTGTGCACACAGAGGACTTCAGTGACAAAGTTAAATTTTCTTTGTGGTTTCTTACAACAGGCCTGAAGTTTACAGTTTATCACTCACCTGAAGGGCAACATATGCAGTATGGGAAATAATTTGTTTTCCACAAATTTTAAAAGCAGCTGTGGAAGAGGAATCCATGATACTGAAATAAAATGCTTGATCAGCTAGACTTGATTGTTTCCCAAACTATGCTCACAGCTGCAGAACACAAATCACGTTTTAACATAACTGATATCATAATTAGTTATTATATAATACTTCCATTTGCTTAATATGAATTGTACGTTCATATCCTAAATGCTATTTTTAAACCAAACTGCATTAAAATATGATTTCAAATAAAAAGCACCCGTTGTCTAACACATACAGTTTTAGCTAGAATGGAGGTTTGCATAAATGGAATCATGTGCTGTAGGTGCCTTTTATCATATTTTATTATTTGTATATTTTGCTATTTTGTGACATTTACAAAAAATCTGTATTCCTTTCACAGCCACTCCAAAGTAAAGATTCCATACAGTACCATGGCTGACTGGGACGACTGACTAGTACTATTATTTACTGTAATTCCTCTCACTCACAGGTTGTTACAGAAACAATAACCTGTGGCTGTCTCTCCTCTCCCAGGAAAGGTATAGTTTCATTGTTTGTCCCGTCCCCATCCCGTTGGCTCACAATGTATCTTGGCAGTAGATACAGTGGGCTGTTGTCCAGTACCATTCCCCTGCGTAGTTCAGGCAGAACGTAATCAAACCCAGAGCATTCAATTCACGTTACTGTTTTTTAAGTAAACTGGATTTTATGTTCTTTAAGATACAATTTCATTGTGCTGAAATGCAGAGTAAGCTTTCTCCCATAGGCTGAAGCATTAAACAGAATGTGAAATAAAGTACTTGAAAATAAATGAAGGGAATGGTAAAATCAAGAGACCTGCTGACAATTTCCATCTATCAATCAGTCATGATTGGTCTGAAAAATAAAATCACTAATGGTAATGGATGTATTTAAATCTACATGATATGTTTTGCTGCAAATAATAGTGTGTACAAAAAAATCTTTTCAAGAAAAATAGAAAAAGACACAAAGAAAAGCACATGGTATAAGTGAAAAATTCATATGAAAAATAAAAAAAAAAAATTTAAAAACCCTTTAACATTTTACCATGATCTTTAGATGCTTAGAGAATTACTTACCTTTTATAAGTCATAACAAGATTAGCACAGAGTATTAAGTCAATTGGCAGGTACAATTAAAAGCCATTGGTTATAATAAAACAAATTGCTACACAAAGATGAAGAGTTTCCAGCCCAATATGAAAAGCTAACTCTTATGGGAGAACATTTCAACTCAAGTTTACAACATGAAGAACAATTCAGAACAATGACATCAAAACATGATTTATCACCAACAGAAAGAACCAATTTCTCAGGAACACAGAGACTCTAGGAGGCTAACCCGTAACCTTTATCATTTATGGGGGAGCATACTGCTCCACTTTTAGGAAAGCATGCAGAATGTGGAACCACCAGCAGAAACCCAAACATATATATCGACACAGAGGACTAAGATACAGGAAAGGGAATGGGTTCGCCAAGCGGTAATGAAGGAAGCAGGATATGCAAAGCACAGCAGCAGTTAACAATTTGAGAACTATATTCCTCTAACTGTCTCATAGATGCCAGATTTACTTATGAGGTGTTGCACATATTACAAGTTACTGTCTGTGGGAAAGTGTATTACTCATATCACCTTTCCTTGAAACTCCAGCAGTACATTTACTCTGTGCGGTCTGGGAAAGCACAACATTGCTGCTTTTTTCCATATGGGATCTACTTAAGAGCTAGAACAGATAAATTATATAGCAACTAGCACTGCAGTACAACCCCCTAATACTTCACGTGAACGCTTCTTATAATTTGATACTACAAAGCAATTAAGCAGCACGAAATATCTCAATGCCACTCAAGCTTCAGTACCTACTGTGATGACTAAATTCTTTTTTAAAATTGTACACATCATTTATATACTAGTTACTCACTTTCTACATTAGTAATTACATAATCTGAGTTCTATACCATATACTCAGTGTATATACCTTTTGAATGGTCTCTCAAGCACTGAAGATTTGCCTGCTTTAAACAGATGTAAAACCACGTATGATCCCCTTTGCAAGTGTAGGCACTCACATGGGCTTTCCTGTCTAAAATATTCTTTTCTCCCTAACAATACCATACACATCAATATCTGTATCTAAATACATAAAATAAAGCATAATTAATAATGTCTCAAGCCTGGGTACTAACACTGTAAACAATATTAATTAATTAATTTTGGCCTATTACTGTAAGCCAAACTAGGAAATAATTGAAAAATGTAATGAAATACCCTGGTTTAATTTAAAAAGT